GCCATCTTTACATAATGTTTTTATAACGCTAATGAGGTCATGTCAAATTATATGCATGGATGTGCAATACCATATTTACTGAGTGGCAAAATCGGCACTGGTGTGTGATAAAGCATATTAATACGGGGAAGTCAAAAACCGCGGGTCCGGGCTTTGACTTGCCCGGCTATAGACTACATGTGTATATTTAAAAGAAAATCAAATAAAAAACAATTAAAAAATATATAATTATAGACTTCTATACCTATCAATGAAATTTTCAGTGTCAGTTCTAGTCGGGGGCCACCATTTACAATGTAACTCAATGATAAAAGGCGGGGTATTCCGATAACTGAACAAATCTCAACTTTTCGGATAAATAATAAACGTCGAGTGTTCCGAGTGAAAAGAGAAGCGGTGCATGTAATACCGAATGACAATTTTAAACGGAAAGAAAGAAAGGAATTTTTTAACGACTTCCCCGTTCATAGGCTTTGCCTAATTTCATATTACATATTAAGCGCAGGTCAATAAGTTTCAATTTTAAGTGATATGAAAAATATTTTCTGTTGTGCTGTCTTTGTAAATCCAATAATTTTCCTCATTTTTTTCCTCTTGATTACAGTTTCAGACCTTAAATAAAATTGCGTTCTTAATATTTATATAGATCTATACTAATATATTGTAATGTCCTAGAAATTTTACCTTTTTTAGTGATTTCGCTGATTATTTCTACTTTCACTTTCGTTTTGAGAAGCTTTTACTGGCGACAGTAAATCATATGCGGTGTCCTAATGGAACATACAGGACATCAACTTAAATCTACGTATTGTGCCAGCAATTTAATCATTCCTGATTCTGGAAGCTTTTCCTTTAATGTTATCCATTTCCCTCAATGTTATCCGTGGTAGAATCCTGTGTTTTTTATCTGTTTTCGTGACTTCTGTCAAAATAGTTAATTCCTTTATTTTACACTCAAGATTATATATTTCGATTGTTTATGATGCAACCTCACTTAATATATAGATTTGCCACATAAATCCATCTGAATTTAATTGTTACCACTGTATATTTATAAAAATTTGCAGTGAATTTTTCAATGTCGGCCATTTTGGACTATTACGTAGAGATTACGTAGTGAATGCAAGGGATAGTTCTTTATCCGATTGCGCATAAAAACACGCCCGTTTAACTCACAACGAGTGAAAAATGTCCATCGGTAAAAATGTTGTGAGCAACTTCCGTTCCTCGTTGTGAGCACCCATCTTTGACGTGTGACACGATAAACAAAGTGACTTTTTCATAATTTTTGAAGATTACAGACGTTTATGTAAAAATATCGGAATGCAGTTAGCTAGCGATGTGTTTTCCGAGTATGCACATGTAAAGATATTGTCTGTTGGTGGACAATTTGATGGAAATACCGTGCGACGCAGTCACTCGGGGTAGCTGGAAAACTGGAGACAACTTCTCTTTTGACCTTATTTAACATTGAAAACGTCGATTCTGGTGACGTTTTGTGCATTCTTACCTAAAACAGATGCCCACAAGTCTTCAGCGTAAATTATTATCTGAAAGTCTTCATAGAAACGAAGATATACCCTTTTTGCTTTAATCCTCGTTGTGAGCACCAAAACCTCGTTGTGAGCAAAACAAGCGCAGTGCGTGTATGGTTTTAATATGTAATTCAGATGGTGAAAATATAATTTTCAATCTACCACAGCAATTAAAACGTTTAAATTGCACAGCAGCATTTCTTTGCAAGACGTCGTGCATACCCCAAAGGGAGGCATATTAGTTTTGAACTGTCCGTCTGTCAGTCCGAGCAAATATTTGATATTCATGAGCTTCATTCCGTAGTTAAATAAAGAACAAAAACTCATAAGATTCAAATTAAGAGCTATCTTTTGAGCTAATTTTGCTAATGGACGTTGGTCCAGGTGGTGTTTATGAGCTGATTTGCCTCATAAATATCAAAAGTTGGTACGTCCGTCAATCTGTCCGAAAACTTTTACATTGGCCTTAACTTCCTTATTAGTAAACGGATTTGATTCATATTTGAACACAACATCCCTTAGCACCTTCCTACGAACCTGTATTTTTTTTACCTTGACCCCTGAATGGCCTTTACCTTGAAGGTCAAATTGTCCAAAAACATTTAAGATTGGCCATAATGTCCTGGCATAATGTTTTGGCACAACACATCTTTGGACAAGGCCTTTCAACTATCCTATATTATTTTGACCTTGACCCCTGAATGACCTTCACATTGAAGGTCAAATTGTCCAAAAACTTAAAAATTGGTCATAAACCTTATTAGTAAACGGATTCTACTCATATTTTGAAAAAAACACCCCTAGGCAAGATCTTCAAACTGATCTGTATTTTTTTTATCTTGTACCGTGAATGACCTTCTAGAACATCCAAAAACTTTAACATTGGTCATCACTTCTTTATAAGTAAGTTGATTTAATTCATATTAGGACACGATGCCCCTTTGGACAAGACCTTCCAACTGACCTATATTTATTTCACCTTGACATTGAATTACCTTCACATTGAAGACCTACTTGTCCAAAAACAAATAATCTATCTGGTCCATAAATCAAAGGACAAATCACCACTTCAGGGGCATTGTCAACTTACCGTGATAGTTCTTGTTTTACATAACTTGGTCAGTCTTCAGCTCAGGATAAACACATGTATGTGTGTATCACACAGACTGTGAAATTGTTGAAATATTCATAAACTCCCGTGATGTTCACTCGAGCCAAACTAGAGTATACGAAATAAAATACCTGACTTACCTACACTGATTAGTTCTTCTGTTAATCTGATGACTTGTGAATATGAAGAATAATTTTCAAAAAAAACTTTTAAAAAGAAAAAGAAGAACTATTGCAAAGAAAAACTATTGTACAAAAACGTTTTGATTGCTTTTGGTAGATTGAAAATTGTATTCTTGCCATTTGAATTACATATTAAAACCAGACAAGCACTGCGCTTGTCTTGCTCACAACGAGGTTATGGTGCTCACAACGAGGATTAAAGCAAAAAGGGTATATCTTCGTTTCTATGAAGACTTTCAGATAATAATTTACGCTGAAGACTTGTGGGCATCTGTTTTAGGTTAGAATGCACAAAACGTCACCAGAATCGACGTTTTCAATGTTAAATAAGGTCCAAAGAGAAGTTGTCTCCAGTTTTCCAGCTACCCCGAGTGACTGCGTCGCACGGTATTTCCATCAAATTGTCCACCAACAGACAATATCTTTACATGTGCATACTCGGAAAACACATCGCTAGCTAACTGCATTCCGATATTTTTACATAAATGTCTGTAATCTTCAAAAATTATGAAAAAGTCACCTTGTTTATCGTGTCACTCGTCATAGATGGGTGCTCACAACGAGGAACGGAAGTTGCTCACAACATTTTTACCGATGGACATTTTTCACTCGTTGTGAGTTAAACGGGCGTGAAAAAGGAACGCTTTACATTAACTTTTTTACTTTCGATATTAGCGCATGATAGCTTATAAATATATATAAAAATCATTTGTTGAGGCTGTGACAAAAATTTATTTCGGTGCTAGGTTGAGTGCATTTCAGTTCTTACATAAACTCTTTAAAATACATTTTTAGCTACCTTAATTACAGTATAGATCTACATGTATATGATGATCAAAATTTATCGCTTAAACGTTCTACATGTAGCTAAAGTTGTTAAAAACTTAAAATGATTACGATGTTTTAATAAAGGTTTAGAAACGTTTTCATTTTGCGTGCGTTTTAGCGTGCGTATATCGTTTAGCGTATTTCGTTTAGCGTATATCGTTTTGCGTGCGTCTGCGTATTTCGTTTCGTTTTGCGTGCGTATAACGTGAGTTCGTATAGCGTGTAACCAAACTCCTCACAGTGATTACCTCCCTTGGCAGAATTGTAATCACTGCCTTCAAAGACGTCACATGATGATGAAAGTCACATGACGTAACGTCGAAATTCAAATGTAAATATCGACCGTTACATAGAAAATCTAACGTCATTTTTCTCTTTCTGTTTTATTTTTAACTTTTAGTGCCTACGATCGATATAGTTTATCAAAAAATTATCAAAAGTATACAAAATAACGAAAAATAAATTCAAAAGCTAAAAAATATAAAATATCAAAATATTGTCTCGGTAGAAAATATTCTCATATTTTTTAAAATTATTTCTAAATATTCATATTATTCATTTATTTATCCATAAACATTGTTTAATCAATGAGAAAAAACTTAACTGATAGATAAAAGCAGTAAATTAAACAATTTTTGAAAAAATATAGTATATCAGAAATTCTGATATATTGGGACCTTGGTGGCAGAGATCTACGCCGAAGAATTAAGGGGAGATCACTGTGTGGAGATTGGCGTGTAACGTGCGTTCGTATAGCGTGTAACGTGCGTTTTGCGTGTAAACTGACACGTTCACCCTACTGTAGAAGTCTTGTAGTATCAGTTTCAGGCTCGATACCATCACTTATCTTGTCTCCCTCTAAATAATTTTCACTTGCTTGACCCTGAAGCTGTTATCGACAGAGTACCATTTTTATATTGTTGTCCACAGTATTTACTCCGGAAGAGTAACATCACTTATCCTGCCTTTCCCTGTATCAGTGGTCATTTTTAAGTATTTTTTCCTTATAATTATTTCTTCTCGGCATCCTTTCAGAAAATATTTCTATTATAATTAACAGCGCAATGTTCCGTAACAACGCGTATGTACTGATTCGCAAGTATACGTTTTAATTCGCAATTATGCGCTGCATTTCACTTTAGAGCGTACCAATGCGTATGAAACCGTCTTTAAGTGAATATCGGTAATGATACGTTTCACGTCGTAATGCATGCGCATCTAACCGTTTCATGCAGTCGACGATTGATATTTCTCCGGACAAAAAATGGGAAAAATACTTTATAATGCAACTGATATTAGCAAAACATTACAATCGTATCTATGCGACTAATGAAATGCGTCGACATGGGACGCAGGCTTAAACAAACACGAGAAGGCAATATCAGTTTTCTCACAAATAAACATGTTTTAAGTTTCATGAAACGGAACAGCGCGAATGCAATTATGTTGTCCTAACTGAAAATGAATAACCTTTGCCACTAGAATAGAGCAAGTCATGTTGGCACATTAATGTGCTCTATAATTTGATATCAAAACATTTGCAATCTGTTACAATGTCTTGTCGATAATTCCAACAATATATAACCAAGCTAGCCTTTGCATCGTTGTAGTATAACAGAACTATCATATGGTAAGAACTGCTTTATTTTTCGCATACTAGTATATAATGGTGAGTATTCCAAAATAAAAAGAGCAGGGAACGTCCATTATTCAAATTGTTTTTCATTAAAAATGCTATATATTTTATTTCCAGCCACATCTTTAGTTTTAAATAATGAAAACAATGTGGTAGCAGGGCAGTCGGCCACATACAACTGTTCAAGTGATGGAAATGATGTCAATCCCACAATTCAGTGGTCAATAAGAACTATATACGGAACTCTTGTTAAAAGTAATTCGCAATTATCATCGATGGTAGTGAGCGGGGGTTCGGTCAATGATGGTGCTATAAAAAGTAGTGTTACGTTCACCGTACAAAAATCGTACCTCTTAAATCACAGATTATGGTGCAGTGCCGTGGATGCAGGTCAAAGTTCAGCTACTATGAAGATATTCACGGCCATATCTGCTTCAACAACAGGTAAATACTGTACAATCTACTATAGTTTCTCTTAATTGTTGTCAAACGTATTAAAAGTCAAAACTTGCTTTGCCTATTCTCTGTATTATAAATTTTTAAAGATCATAATAGATTTGTGATTATTATTGGTAACTTTTTTAATGGCTCATATATGCATGATCAATTGTGTTTACTGTTGAGTTGAATATGTCCGTGTACCTCCGGGGATGTACTTATTTGTCAAATAATAAACAATCAAAAATGTCTGAAGGGTCTTTATTGAACTCGCTTTCAAACATAATAAGCTACAATTAATTTAATTTGTTTGCAAATATTCCAATTTCATCGTGTCAATAATTATCTTGACATCGTTAAAATGTTTAAATGAAATTAAAGTATTTTCTTGTCATATTGAAGTGTGCTCGAAACAAAGGATCGCTGTATCTCGGCACAGTTTCCTGAACATAGTTTGAAATCCTGGCATTTCCAAGCAATTCAGCTCGTTTAATTGTCCTAAGAGCGTGTACCTCGGATGCAGGGTCACTTTAATTAATTTCAATATTATCTGCTAACTCATCAAATACAACTTGTATTATTATATTTTCTAAGTCTGTGTTATTTGAGGCCATCTTGGAGTTTGCAGCGGGGGCTTGCAAGCGTTCAATAGCCCGATGACTCTTGAAGCAGGCGCTCGCTCAAGCGCTAACTTTGTTGAACGTATCTCAGGTTTCAGTTTCACAACAACCCTCATTACATGTAATTATCTGATTTTATCAGCCATATCATATTCATTTAGCTATAAAACATTTAGCTCCTATGTACGCTAAAAATTGTTCTAGGGCTAAAAATTTGTTCCTTTAAAGCACTCCGCTGAAAGTAATTGAAATATTTTTTCGGGACTGTGTACCACTTGATAAAGGTCTGGACTAATAATTTGTGTGCAAAATTTCACAAACCTTCCCCAAGGATACAACTTAAATTGTTGCAACGCTTTTCAAAAATACCGAACAAACATTCGTGCAAACAATCGTTTTTCAATTTAACCCTGAGCATAATTCTTTGTTATCTTTTGCAGATTTACCTTCTTAAATGTACCACTTGGTACATGCGACAATTTTACTTTTATGCTTTTTGACCTCACTGGAGCTCATTTAAGAAACAGTTACAATTTACAATATAGTAACACTAATATAATAAGACTTTCCCCAAAAGACAAATTGCCATGAGTTTCTTGCTAAAATTATATGTCAATACTCACAGATGCACAATAAAATATACATTGAAATAAGAAACAAACAAATCTAAATATTTGTTATTGCATAAATTTCACCAACTATCACACACGTACAAGAAGCAATGGTTAAACAAGTTTAATATGCTTAAATGATTTGCTAGTATGTAATATCAATTTAAGACTATGTTATTATTATTATTATTATTATTATTATTAAGAAATTTTTCACGGTAGGTTATCATTCTTGTGTGCTGCTCTCCTCCTCAATGGGATAAATCTACCTATGAAGTTTCAAGTTGATACCTTTTTGAGATAAGCTCCGGACAAAAATTATGAAAAATAAAAAGGGCATTTACTCAAAAATATAAAGGGTAGAGTTATCATTCTTGTGCGCAGCATTTCTCCTCAATAAGATCTATCCACCTATGAAGTTTCATTTTGACATCTCAAAGATTGTTTTGAGTTATGCTCAACTCGGGAAAAAAATAAGTATAAAAAATAACAAAGGGCAATAACTGAAAAATTGATGCAGGATAGTATAATCATTCTGGTGCACTGCACTCCTTCTAAACATGATGTATCAACCTATAAAGTTTTAAGTTGATATCTCAAATTCCTTTTGAGATATGCTCCAGACAAAAATGTTGGTCGGAAGGACAGACGGACGTTCTAACGGGACAGTAATAATGGGGCTACTCTATTGTTCTCTCTATTGTTCTTTAGAAAAGAAAATAGCCACATAAAAGTATTACGGAATGAATGACATCAAAGAGAAAGAACAGTTAACTATTGTCCCTCTAGCCACATTATTACTGTCCCGTTAGAGCGGAAGGACAGTCAGAGACTATTTCTATGTCCCCCATCGCCTTTTCCAAATTGCATTTGCAGATAGAAAATGGTATTTCTTAGTCAAAAGGTGCTTTTATTTCACACAGAGCATCATATGTCAAAGGTTTTTGATACAGAGTATGACTATCATGAAATGATGGAAATGTTTTAACAACCGGACTACGCGATGTGTAAATCTCCGGAGACCAGTATTTGAACCGTAGCCAGGTTGTGTATATTCTTGGCGAATGTAATTAAAACTTCAATTAAAGTGTGCACTAGCAAAATGTATAAACAACAGCTATAAAAACTTTGTTTTATTAATTGTCATCACAATATCTTGCATTGATAAATAATTACTTAATTGATTAATAAAACTACATAAAATCATAATTACGATTATAAAGTCTGACTTATTTTGCAAGAGTACTTACTGAGGAGAATGAAGCATACATGAAAGTTTTAAAGTAGTGTTTAAGTGCATGAGACGATGAATACAGTGTGAACTACTCAAGCTTAACGCAAGTAATTGTGAATAAGAGGGCAACTATGGCCCTAGATCGCTCACCTGACCCATGGAACGCATCCTAGCAATAACTCAGACAAGCATCCTGACCAAGTTTGATGACAACTGAATCAACAATGTAACCTCTAGAGTGTTAACAAGGTTTTCCATATTTGGGAAGAGTGATTTAGTTATTGAGCCAAGGTGACTCATATTAAAACTTGACCTAGAAATCATCAAAACAACCAAGCAGACTAATTTACAGGATTAAAACAGTAACGACTATAGAGTGAACAATATGTTTCTATTTTTAGCCCCCGTGACCTAGTTTTTTCATCAGAGATGACCCATGTCCAAACACCTCCATGCAAATAACTAGACAAGCTTCCTGACTAAGTGTGATGACAATTGAGTCACAAATGTAGCCATAAGAGTGATAACAAGTTTTTTCCATATTAAAGTGTTTTTCAAGGTTTTTCTATTTTAAGCTCTTAGGATTGGAGATGACCCATATTCGAATTTGACCTAGAAATCATCAAAACAACCTTCCTCCCCAATTTCCAGGATATTTGGATCAAAACTGCAGCCACTGGAGTGTTAACAAGACTTTTCTATTTTCTGTGACCTAGTTTTTGCCGCGAGACAACCCATATTCGAAGTTGACCAAAACATTATTAAATGAACCTTTCTGACAAATTTCCAGAATATTTGAATCAAAACTGCAGCCATTAAAGCGTTAAACAGATTTTTCTTTTTTTATCTTCTGTGACCTAGTTTTTGACCCGAGAGAACCCATATTCAAACTTGACCTAGAAAGCTTCCAAACAACCTTCCTGACCAATTTCTAGAATATTTGAACCAAAATGCGGCCACTAGAGTGTAAACAAGTTTTTTTTTATTTATAGCTGATGTGACCGAGTTTTTGACCGCAGAGGACCCATATCAGAGCTTCACCTAAAACTCATCAAAGCAAATTTCCTCACTGATTTCCATGATATTTGGATTAAAACTGCAGCCACTACAGTTTTAATAAGATTTACCATTTTTTAGCTCCCTTTACCAAGTTTTTTTCTATAATGTTAACAAGATTTTTCTATTTATAGCTCCTGTGACCTTGTTTTTGACCGGAGATGACCCATATTGGAACTTGTCTTAGAAATCATCAAAACAACCTTCTTGACTCATTTCCAGAGTATTTGAATCAAAGCTGCAGCCACAAGAGTGTTTACAAGATGTTTATATTTTTTAGCTCCTGTGACCTATGAAATTATCAAACAACTTTCATGGCCAATTTCCAGAATATTTGGATCAAAACTGCAGCCACTAGAGTGTTAACAAGATTTTTCTATTTATAGCTCCTGTGACTTAGTTTTTGACCGGAGATGACCCATATTCGAAATTGACCTAGAAATCATCAACACAACCTTCCTGACCAACTTCCAGGAAATATTTGGATCGAAACTGCAGCCATTTTTTAAAGTGTTTACAAGATTTTGCTATTTTAAGCTACTGTGACCAAGTTTTAGACCCGAGATGACTCATATTCGAACTTACCCTGTATTCAATTGGGACAAAGTTTGATTATGATCCAATCAAAACTTTGACTGCTAGTGTTTACAACCCAAATGTTGAGGACGAACGACGGACATAGCCCCATCACTCTACCTCATTTTAACCACTTCATGGTCAGGTGAGCTAAGAAATAAAAAGATGAAAAATCAATGGTAAGAATCATATCTGTGCAAAGATTTTGATAGTATTCGTTGTTTTAAAAGCATTTCTTGTTTGGGGGTAATTATTTCATTAAATCAGCTCGACTTAACTAATTGCTCATATTAATTTGTTATTTACTGGTTATTATTAACATTTATATTACCTACGAGTATAACAGAACCACTTTCGATGCTACAGCGCACGTTTTTTTATTAATAGCAAGATAGCAGTGAACTGTTAACAAATACTAAACTCAACTCAGTGCTGAACAAGATAATACGCCTGTTGAGCTGTACTTTGAAATGGAACGCATTGCATGCACACTTAATTGTTGTTTGCTGTTCCGTTAACTACGAGGTTGTCTTCTTATGTGTCTCAAATGTATGATCTTCATTCCTGTATAATTATGTCATATATAAACTTTATACAGAAGACAAATAAGTATAGATATAAATTTATGTTAACAATTGTGTGTTTTTAAGTGTTTCTTAATTTTTAGTGTAGGTCTGAATTTAAATTGATCGCTTGTATGCAAATCATACATTCAAATATTTCAACTACAGAAGTATGTTCTCAGGGTTGTCAAGGACTGACCAAGTTGTGTGACCAAGAAGACTAGTAAGTGGTAGATATAACTCATCAAAAAACATATTAATGTCACAGGGTGAGGAAAATTTGCAGCCTGACCGGGACTCGAACCTGGGACCGACGGAATACCTTACCGCGGCTCTACTGACTGAG